AGTTAAGTAAGTGATCGATATTATTTTTTATAAAGCATAATAATAACAAACTTATTTATATTTTTATTTGTTTGATATATTTATTTAATATTATTTTATTTTTAAAAATAGGTAGCTTTACTGGTTATTCAAGCTAAGATTAAACGTGCCTACCATATTGCAGACTTTTTACTCAAGAATAAGCTTGAGAAATTTGAAAGAATATTATAATTATAAAAACTGATAGAATACCTTAAGATATACAATTAGCAAGTTAGCCAAATATCAGATTCAAAATGCTATAGGAAGTATCTTAGTTAATTATAGTTATTTTTTTTTTTTATTCTGAAATTGGTGATTATATTAGCTATGATATATTGGAGGTAATGTAATGTTATAAATAGATTAATTACTAGTATCTTTTGATAATTTCAAATAAATAAGTAGAAATTTAATATGCTTTAGGAATAATATACTATTTACTTTATGATTCAGAAAGTATTTGTGCTTTTGAATCAAACTAAAATATTAAAAAATATATATTTTAACTAAATAATGCCTCATAATATATAGTATGAATTATAACTTAATTACTGGGTAATATAAATATATATATTATCCAGTAATTAAGTTATAATTTGTACTATATATTATGAAGCATTATTTAGTTAAAATATAATTTTTTAACCAGTGATATAAATTTTGGATGCATGTGAGATTTGTTATTGCTTATTTTCCCGCTAGTCATTTCTCTAACAGAGCACTTATCTAGCATCACAGTTAAGGCCAGCATTTTATTAGTTGTAGATATATACTGTTAGTAAATTATTACTTTGTGCAATGTTAGATAAATAGTTTGTCAGAAAACTAGCTATTGGATAAATTAGATGTAACAATTAGATATGTAGAACCGATTGGATGTATCTGAATTTAAATATTCGAGATATTTAAATCTTGTAATATATATATATGCATGTTATATACTCTATATTGGTACTAATTTTAATTGTGAAATAGCTTACAGAAATCTAGCTATTTGAACCTAAACATGTTCATGAATGTTCGGGCCGAACCGAACCCAAACCCGAACCAATAATATAAGTTCAAATTCGAACCGAACCTGAACACTAATTTTAAAATAGTATGGGTTCAGGTTCAGTTCGAATTTCGGACCGAACCCGAACCTATAGTAGGTTCAGGTTCGGTTCAGGTTCGTCAGAACACTAGTCTGATATAGCTTTCTAGAATAGGTAGCCTTCAAATTTTCTGTTGATTTAACGTGATATGTCTCTTATAGATATATCTGTTTAGTATAGCAGATCGCTTGAAAGTGCTCTTAGAAGTAATTACAGGATGTCAGATCTAAATATTAAGCTTAAAGTATCTTATACAGCCTGTAACAAGACAATCTTAATAAAGGATCACTTGCAAGACTGCCAAAGTTGAAAAAAAAATTATAATTGCTTACCAATATTTTTGTTAATATTTGATAATATAGATAAATAGCAATGATTCTTCTTGTAGATTTTACATAACTTTTTTTCTTGTGATATTTCAAGATTTGATATATAATTTGCAATTATATTATGAGAATTGCTATTTGATGCCTAGGCAAATTTGCCTGAAACCTAAAAAAGGAAATTTTTCTATGTAGATCGCAAGATCAGGAGACAATCTTTGTGTAATATGAAATCAAAGGTTTTTTTAAAACATTATCGAAAACTCAAAATTTTGCCTAAGAGATCACCTTTTACGTTCTAATTAAAAAAATTCCTGTCCAAATTTTACTATATGCCCTTCTTTATCCCAACTCTAACCCTAACTCTAACCCTAACTCTAACCTTAACGCTGGTCAAATTTCACAAAATTAATAAATCCAGGCAAATTTGCCCCAGGCGTCAAATAGATTTTCTCTTATATTATTAACAATATTTAGATAAATTGAATTTGTATAATTAAATTGCTAAATTTTACAAATTGTTTTTTGCTTTATATATTGACTATTATAGCCTTCATAATTTTTTCATAAATTAACTAGATAAAAAATATTTAAAGACTCAGATTTAGTAATACCAGTATCAAAGTCTTCATTTGATTTTAAATCTTGACTATTTAAAGAATTTGTATCTGATAGTAAAAAAGATAAGTCAAGATATGTATCTCTTAAATCTTCCTCAATATTATCATCATGAATATTAATTGAATTAAAATTAATTACAATATCTGCTACTACTGCAATTGCTTGTAAATCTGATATATCACTACTTTGAGATATACTACTATTAAATAATTATAATAGTTATCATTCTCATTATTTAAGGATAGGGTGAACATAAATCATTTATCATATAATCTTATATACTAAAAATTTTTTATACAAAAATTGAGCATATACTATTAGTAAAAGTTTTTAAGGCTACAACTAAATTTTACTAAAATTTCATAATATATAGATTAAACCCTTTTCTTTATGATAATAAAATTTTTGGTCTTATATTATTTAAAAAAAATCTACCTTTATATATTATTAAATTCTCCCAGGTTGATTGAAATTTTCCTAGGTAACACGAAATTTACTAATTCTTATTGGTTGGATTTCTATTGTTTACAATTTTGATTGGTTAAATCAATGTCAATCATATGATATCATATGATTTGTCATGTGATTACTATTAAAAATGATCTATATTCACCCTACCCTTAACTAATTTAACTTCTCAGTTAAAATATTTAAACTATTAAAAACTAATTTTGATTAATCATCAAAAATTTTTTTCAAAATTTCAAGTTTACTAATATCTTTCATAAACAGCACAAAGCAAATTAGTATTTAAAGATCACTGATGCAATAAGCATCTCAGTATTGTAATATATAATATAACTTAATAAAAATAAATAAAATAAATTTTAAATCTTTACTCAAAATAGTTAAGTAATATTAAAAAAATTAAATATCAGATTTTAAACTTTTCTTTAAATTATTAAACCTAAAATTTGATTTTTTTTAACAAAATTTATTAATTATATTTACCAATATCAGATATCTTATCTTTTATTATTTCATTTAAAGTATTTACTATATATACTTTATATATATATATAAAACTTTTAGTACCAAGTATAATAAATCAGAAAATGAAAAATTATTATTAATTTGGCAACATAGTTTAAAAAAATGTTTATATTCTTCAGATTCATAAAGCCAAGGTAAAAGTAGATAAAAATTATAGAAATCATGATATAATAGATTAAAAGTATCTAAGAAAAATAAATAAATAAATAAAATTAAATTGTAAATATTAATTATTTTAATATTAATTAACTTATTAATAATTACTTTATAAGCAATTATTTTGCAGTTATTTTAAATAAATTTATTTTATAGATAATTATTTTACTAATAACTTTTTTTACAAAATAATTCTATTATTGTTGCTAAAATCAGATTTATTAAAAAAATTTTATTTGTAAAATAAGCTGCTAGTAAAATATACTATCTATAAAATAAACTTGTTTATTGTCGCAGATCATAATTTAAAATGAAATCGACATTTTCTACTCAACTTGTTGACCTTCTAAAACCCACAAATACTTGTTTATTATAACTTTACTTTATAACTAACCTCTAACCCTAACTCCTAGCTCTAAAAAATGCGCCCAAAAATTTTTATTTTTCGAGATTTTATAATATTATTTCATTTTGATCTGGATTTCATTATGATCTGTCACATTTATTACTTGTAAACTAAAATAATTTTTGTAAAGAATATGAATTTAATTATTCTTACCAATAATTCAGCCAGGCTTATTAAAACATATGGGCTGATTTGAAGAATTGCTGATATCTTTTGATCTATTAACCCGTTCTGAATGATTTAGCTACCAAAATATTCATCTCAATGAGACAATTCTAATGAGTCTAAATTATTAAGATCCAATCACAAGATCCTGAGATCATTCAAGTTTTATGTGATTTTAATAAGAGATTTAGAATTATTATGTAAATATGTTTGACAGTAGATAACTTTTGATCCACTAGTCTGTTTTAGATATTTTAAATGCCAAAATGTTTGTCTTAATAAGATGATTCTAATAAGTCCAAAATCATCAAAATCTAATTATAAGATCCTGAGATCGTTAAAGATCAATATGATGTAGACAATCAACTGAGAAATGGTTTGTACTATTTCTTAGTTAATTGTCTACATCATATTGATCTTTAATGATCTCAGGATCTTATAATTAGATTTTGTCGATTTTAGGCTTGTTAGAATCATCTCATTAAGATAAACATTTTGGCATTTAAATTATCCAAAATGGATCAGTAGATCAAAAGTTATCCACTGTCAAACATATTTATATAGTAATTTTAAAATCTCTTATTTTTTTTTTTTTTTTTTTATTACCTTCGCAATATCGTGAGAAGGCAGATTTTTATTAGGTATTTAGATAATACATTCTTGGTTACCCTATTCTGTACTATCCACTACAATCACGCCACCTCATAACCTCATGCTGCTTCATAATCTATAGCAGAAGTGTTCTCTGGCTGTTTTGTTCTTATCGGTTTTTCCTAACATTTTAACTATACTATAGGTCTAAACTGAAGACCACCCAGATCGATATCTGCTATACTACTTGTACCCTAATTCTATA